AGAACTTTTTCATCACTCCCAAAGAAACCTGCACATCTACTGACACACCGCCATTGAGTCACTCATGTGCTCGTGTCTAGTGCTCTGTTCTCCTGGCATCTCATAAATGGAATCGGGCAACACGCGGCCTTGTAGCGGACATCTTTCACTCAGCATGTTTGCACAGTTCATCTGAGTTGTAGCATGTTGGTAGTACCTCATTCCTTTTTAGAACGGGATAAGATTCCTTTGTAGGACAGACTAATGCGTCCATCAGCGGAGCTAGATGTCAGATAGTGGAAGACCCGACAAAATAATAATAATTTATGAATTATCAAGGGTTTGTGAGGAGGGGTGAGAAGGGAGGGGAAAATGAGCTGATACCAAGGGCTCAAGTAGAAAGAAAATTTTTGAGAATGATGATGGCAACAAATGCACAAATGTGCTTGACACAATGGATGTGTGTATGGATTGTAATAAGAGTTGTACGAGCCCCTAATAAAATGATTTAAAAAAAGAACAATTCTTCTATGAACATTAATGTACAATGTTTTACATGGACATAGACATGGGTATATAGCTGTACAGATGGCACGGGGGCCATGTCCGACCTCCAGCGCCACTCCAGCCAAGGCCAATTCCTGTAAGGCAGAAGTCAGACATGCTTCTGTCTTCAACTTTGCTCTATTCTGACAGCAGCCAACCCTCCCATGACGCTCTGCTCCCTGCTGGGTTCCATTCTCTATTGCAGCAGCCACACAGAACTCAAGACCGCACTCACAAATGTGGGGACTAGGGGGAGGCACTGCAGAAAGATGAGGTTACCTGCTCCTATAAAGATTTACAGCCTGGGAAGCCTCATAGGAAGCCATTGTGTGTAAGAATCACCTTGACAACAGTGGGTGATGGTGTGGTGATTATGGAAGTTAACAATAAGACATCCTCCTGGTCCTGGCCCTTCCAGGTCCTGATAGCAGGCACACCTCTCCTCTGGTCCTTGACCCTTGGGCCCTCAGCCTCTGCCCTGCTGACAAATGCCCCAGAGGCATCCTACTCTCTGAAGGCACTCAATTCTATTATTTCTGTGGGCTGGAAGCCTGCCCTCCTGTGTTGTACTCTAAGTACCGCTGTGTCTGCAGCCTCGGCTTCCCCAAACAGGGATCTCAGGGCCCAAAGGAATTGCTTCCATCTCGGTTCTTCATTCTTGGTGTTTGGAAGATCTCCCATCCTTTTGAGGTAGCTGCTTTTGCTGACCAATCCCCATGTGAAGAGTTTTTTTTTTTTAACAGTTTATTAGGGGCTCATACAACTGTTATCCCAATCCATACACACATCAATTGTGTAAAGCGCATTTGTACATCGTTTCTCAAAACATTTTCTCTTCACTTAAACTCCCGACATTAGGTCCTCATTTTTCCCCTCCCTCCCTGCTCCCCCCTTCCTATGTGAAGAGTTTTACACGCCCTGTTGGCCTTCTTCCATCCAATCATTTGGTGGGAATTACAAAGACTACGGCCAGAAGAACCACACGATGTCATTTTACTTCCCTGCTCTAGTTAAGAGTACAGTTGCTGGGTTGTATGTTCTAAGGGGGTAAAAATCACCTTTTCACTTCAGATGTGAAACTGAAAATCCATCTAATGAATTCAATTAACTACGGATTCTGTTTCCCTTAAGGGGCCCCTGGCGGCACTGTGGGGTGAGCATTGGGCTGTTCACTTCAAGGGTGCACTTCACTCTCAGAAACCCTTTGTGGGACCTCGGTGACTATGAACGGACATGATGGCTGCCTTGGGGTTTGGTGTTAGCCCCTGCCCTGATCTGTTTCCCGCTGTTTTGACTCCCCCACCCCCCCACGCACTGTTACTGGTCCTTGCCACCTGGCCATAGTCACAGGTATAAGGGGCACAGTCTTCCCATCTACCAGGTCTTCCCACTACCTCAGACACTAGAAGCAAGTGTGGAAACCCACAGCACCCTCATTTCTAACCTGCTAGTTTCAAAGTTGGGGGCTCCTTCTCCCCCTTCGGCATACTAAGCTCTAAGCTTAGGAACCCCCTCTCCTCCTCTCACTTATCACCTGCAGGCTCACACAACCCTTGTAGTCAGTAATTCACCAGATCATTGCACCGAAAATACAGAAAGTGCTATCCTTATCATTAGTTTTATTATAGCTCCCCCCTCCCCCCAAAAAAAAAATCTAAATGAAGTGTGCCCCTGGACAAGCTCTGGCATGGTTCCCAACTTCGAACTTCCATGTTCCACAGTAGGATACACCACTGTTCACCTGGTCAATGTCTTCTACCAACCTGGAAGCCCAGAGAGCTGCTCTGGCCAGATCCTTTATTTCACCCTCATCATGTCTGTTAGAGAGGCAGTGAAGAAGAGGAAGGTACTCAAGGAGATGGATTGGCATTGTGACGGCAACAATGAGCTCGAGTGTAGGAACAATTGTGAGGATGGTGCTGGACCAGGCAGTGTTCGCTATGGGTCGTAACTGACTCTGGATGGCATATAACAACATTATTGCATCAACCCACCTACCCCGAGCTCAAAGTAGTCTTTCTGACCTTGCCAGCCCCTCCTGAGGTCAATCAGCGCAAGCCCTCAGGTATGCTCTGGAGGCTTATTAAGATGCTTCTTTGAGGAGGGGCTGTAGAATTCCTGCATTTTAGATTGGTGGTCCACAGACATGGCTGATCATTGGAATCACCTGGGGATCTGGTGGAGACTCCCCATGAACTCCGCCCCTCAGATTAATTGGGTTGCAACTAGAGCCCAGAGATCTGTTGTTTCATCAGATCCCCAGGTGTTCCCAATGATCAGCCATGTTTGGGAACCACTTTTAGAGGTTGTGTTAGGCAGGGTTTTCTAGAGTCTAGAGCAGGGGTCCTCAAACTTTTTAAACAGGGGCCAGTTCACTGTCCCTCAGACCATTGGAGGGCCGGACTATAGTTTAAAAAAAACTGAACAAATCCCTATGCACACTGCACGTCTTATTTTGAAGTAAAAAAACAAACAGGGCAAAAGCACAGATAAATGTCCTCGGCGGGCTGCATGAGGCCCACGGGATGTAGTTTGAGGATACCTGGTCTAAGGACAGTTATGACTTACAGCGAGAGTGACTATAACAGCTAATTAGCTCACACAGCAGTGTAGAGGGTTCAGATCCACCCACTTCCAGGAAACAGTTAATATTCTGGAAGTTCTTCAACTTTCGTGGGCTGCCAGGTCAGAGGTCAAGGAAGCAGATAGCAGAGTCTTCCCTATGGCAGGGCAAGCACAATCTGCCCACAGGCAGCAGGGTGGGTAACTAAGTCAGTAGCTCGGGAGTTTAGCAAAGTAGGCCCAGATGGGCTATTAAACTCAAACAATGCAAGGCTATAGAATCCACCAGCCTTAAGCTCAGGCGATGTACAAGGTACGCACCAGCAGTGTGGCGAAGCTACTCTTGAAGGATCCTCAAGCTTCAGCAACACTATCCATGGATTGGCTTGGCCCACGGGTAGTGTAGTCACAGGTTGAAGCAGAGATCTAACTACAGCAGCTTGCAGGCTCCAGCACACTCCAGCCACCAGACAACGAGAGAGAGGGCGGTCTTTGCAGAGCCATTTATCTCTTTGCCCTCCAATCAAACTACGACCTGAATAATCCCACATGTTCTCATTGGCCAGGTTGGCACAATAAACCTGCCTATCACAGAGGCTCTCAGGAACAAATGCTAAAGACCAAATTCTTTTTCTTCAAACCATTTTATTAGGAATTAATCCAGACATCATACCATTCTGTGATTCAATTACAGTACTGTAAAATTGCTACCAAAATCCGTTTCAAAACATTTTCTTTCTTCTTGATATCAGCTTCCCCTTAACCACCCCCCCCCCCCCCCCCCCCCCAATTGTACCTCCTGGAACTCTTACTGTAGTTGTTGTCTCTGTAGGTTCATCAATCCTGGGACTCAGCACATAGCAAAGATTCATGAATGCGACCCCAGTGACAAAATACAGCAGAGAGAAACCCCAGTATGTGTGTGTGTGTGTGTGTATATAGAGAGAGTAAAAACGAGATCAAGCCCAAAAGTGTATCAGAGGGGAGATCAAGTGACAAGGTTTTAACGGTTCAAATCAGATTTATCGTCTTGAAAGACCACATTTAAAAAAATTCTTTCAATGTTAATTCCACATGTGGTAACTGTGTAACAGCTTTGAGGAATTGTCAGTCTGTTTAAAAGTGGCTTTACCATGTTGCAGGAGTGCTGGAGGTGTGCAGGTTACAAGTTGTGCTGCTAACTACAAGCCTTTCTACTACGGGAGAAAGGATAAGGGTTTTTACTCCTGTAAAGATTTATTGTCTCATGGCAATGAGTTGAGTTACCATATTCCAAACCTTCCAGAAATGTATGAGGTTTCCAGCTTCCCCTACCATTGCCAGTGCTTATCATTGCCCAGTGTTTTGATATCCCGGTATCATGGGTGTGTGGTAGTGCCTCACTGTGGTTTGGACTGGCCTTTCCCTGATGACTAGTGAATGCTGTTGAGCATCGTTTCTTGTGCTCATTGGCAGTTCCTTGGGGAACTCCTTCTTCAGATCTTGTACCTGTTGCCCTTGTCCCACTGATGCCAATGGTCTCTTCACTAAAGTGGGTGGTGGGAACTGGTAATAGCTTTAGAAACCTAGGTGGGGATGAATTTTCCATGCACCTTCGGAATCTGCATGTAGGTTCGCCAGCTCATTAGTTGACGAAGATTCATCGCCCTCTTTTTAAACAGCTCTGTGGAGCTTTCCTTGAGGTAACTCCTCCCAACAAGCCAGAGAGAGATTTGGTTGAGCATGCCCCTCTCTAGCCAGCTCTGAACTTTTCAGTTACAATAACAAAACCAGCCATCTTTTAAGTCACATTTCACATGAAAGCACCAGGCTTTGTGGTGTCTGTTGAGTCTTTGACTGATCCTCTTGAGTAATCTTTTCCCAAGTAATTGAATCTGCTTTGTGAAATGTGTTCTAATCCCTCTCTCTTTCTCTCTTTCAGGTTATCCAGACTATCATATGCTTAGCTCTTTTCCTTGCAACATTAGCTATTGTTTTTCACTCCCTCCAAAAGATCAAAATTGTTGGAGAAATTGGAGACATTTGCTCTAGAAGAAACAAGCCTCCCAAGTGGACAATATGTCTATTACGAATACACCCACAAGCAATGACGCCTGTCTGAGCATTGTGCATAGTCTGATGTGCCATAGACAAGGTGGGGAGAGCGAGACGTTTGCAAAAAGAGCAATTGAGAGCTTGGTAAAGAAGCTGAAGGAGAAAAAAGATGAGTTGGATTCATTAATAACAGCTATAACTACAAATGGAGCGCACCCAAGCAAATGTGTTACCATACAGAGAACACTGGACGGGAGGCTTCAGGTGAGTCTTGTCCTAGAGTGTGCCCCCCCCTCCCCCCCCACCTTGTCTTTGCATCCCATGTCAATACGCAGGGAATTTGTTTATGGAAGAAATGGCCTCCACATACTCAGGATGTATCTCAAAGGCATGCTTTGTTTTGTGTTTCAGGTTTTTGTGTGGTAAAATATGTATAACAAAACATTTGTCAATTCAACAGTTTTTACATGTATAGTTCAAGGACATTAACTATGTTCATCATGCTGTGCAAACAACCCCACTGTAGCTTTCCCAAATTATGTAGATATACAATAGCATATGTTTAATATGTCTATTATATAAAAAACATTCCAAAGAGAATGCAGGCATTCCCAGAGAACTCAGGGCGTTAGCACTTCCTTTCTGTAATTTTTCTGTACCATTTTCACCTATCACTATGTACTTACCTCCTATGCTTAATATTTTTCAAGAAATCTTACGTGGTTGATGTACTTCTAGTATTCACACGTGGATTCCACAGGAAATTCATAGTTTTCTACGTTTGTAACACCTGAGCCCAGGTCTTGAAATCATTTCCAAGTTCATGTTCTATTGTAGTGCTTTGTGATGGACATCTTGAGCTTGAGCTTTCTCATTTATGAATGAGACTTCTAAGACTCACTTGTAGGACTTGGAGATTACAGAGGACCTGCTGTTCAGCCAGTGGCCCTTTCTTTTCCTAGGTGGCTGGCCGCAAAGGGTTTCCTCATGTGATCTATGCCCGTCTCTGGAGGTGGCCTGATCTTCACAAAAATGAACTGAAACATGTTAAATATTGTCAGTATGCATTTGACTTAAAATGCGACAGTGTCTGTGTGAATCCATATCACTATGAACGCGTTGTCTCCCCTGGAATCGGTGAGTACACTTCACCATTCTCCTGAGAAGTATTAATTAAAAAAGGATTCCCAGTCGTATTTCCATTTTTCTGAAATAGCTATAGATTTGTAGGTCACTCAGGACTTCAGATATAATTAAGGAAGCTTTTTTGGTTTGTTTGTTTATTTTTGTTTGTTTTTATCAGTTTTATTGCCATACAATTTATGTGTCCATACAATGAAACACTTTAAATATATTAAAAAGAGTTGGGCAGTTATCACCACAATCAATTTTAGAACATTTTCTAAAATAAAACAGAAAAACCTCAAAGTGAAGGATTTTTAATGAAATAGAATTTGTTATTTAAATTTGAACTTGGAAAACTGGCCTGTAGTTTGGCAATTAAAATGGATTGGCAATTAAAATGGATTATATGTAGTTGTTATTTTTGCTCGCTTTTAAAACATAAAGAAAAAATACAACGGAAAGCATTTACTCAACTTGCTACCGTTGAGTTGATTGTAACTCATCATGATCCTGCAGGACAGAGTTAGATAGTCACATCTATATCCCAATTATAGAATCAATTAGTGTGTAGTTAATGCTTATTGTTAAATAAGTTTTTGATGACTTCTTATCAAGTGGTTCATAAAGTTTTATAATATGCTTTACACACATAGTATTTTAAATATATTGAAAATGTGTTCATGGTAATGACCAATGTCTTGTTTTCTCCTTTAAAAAAAATCAGATCTCTCAGGATTAACATTGCAAAGTAATGGTAAGTAAACTGTTTCTTGAAACTTTCTCTGTTTTCTTCTTTTGGGACGGGGATGATAGACCTAGGATGAATTTGTTGGTGTTTAGTAATATTAATAAGATATTAAACTCGTCTGCCTTAAAAATGTAAATTTTTTATTCTCCCATGGACCAGCGTTTATCACTGCACATAAATTGCTTCTTGGCTCTTTGGTTTTTGGGGTTTTAGGTTTTAATTCTTAAATAGCAGCCCAAATCCATACTCACTATGGTGTCAATTCTAGCTCACGGTGACTCTATATAAGGTTTCTAAGGCTGTATGTCTTTTGGGAGCAGACAGCCTCATCTGCCTCCCATGGAGCAGCTGGTGGGTTTGAACCACCAACCTTATGGTTAGCAGCCCAACATGTACCCGACAGCACTGTCTGGTTCCCTAAAGTACTAAAAAAGATGCTAGAGGAATGGCTATTTTGGAAGAAAACCTTACAGAGCTAGTTTCAAGATTATAAGTAATAATGCTTTATAATTACTAATCATGTACAACATAGCCTTTAAAAATACCAGCTAGATTCTGGTTTTTCTTCATTTCTGGCTAATAGTGATAATGAAGTAGCTGCTGATCACAACTGATTTGAATCGAGTTGTAAAAAAGAAAACGTGTCTTAAAGTAGGGAAGTGACGCACAGATGGTGTATGTGTGTGTCTGTTTTATTTTTAGTGTAGTATTTGAGAATGGAGTTGTGTTAAGTTATTAGCTCAGTTACTTAGAACATGTTAGTGAACTAAAATTTCTGTAAGGACATTTAATTAACTTGAAAATAAACTCCTATTACGAGGGCCCGCACATCTTAGGCAGCTATGGCGTTGTTGTGGAGGGAGCTTACCAAGTCCTTGAAGGGCCAGATACATCAAATGTTGACAAAAATGAGGGGGTGAAAACATGCAGGCGTCTGCTTTTCTTCCGCCCCACTCATAGTGGAGGGAGCCTGGGGCCTTTGGGCGTTTGAGCAAGTTTCTGAGAAGTGTGGGTTGCTACTGGGCACTGTGGTGTCTGGGAGGCTAACTCTAGGCCCCATCAGCACACAGGCACTTAGGGTAGGCCATACTTCTCTTCTTTACAAGTAAACACCTTTCAGAGGTATACTCTTCTCCAATCTGTGCTTTTGGAAATTGGCCAGGGGTGTTTGAGGTTTGGGAATGTAGTAATGGCTGTATCAGAATTTACCTGGTGAAGGAGGTTTCAGGGGGTGCAAGTTAAAAAAGCTCAGCACACTCTCCCTACCCTAAAGTTACTGCTGATTTGAGTGCTTATTGGATTGATGGCGCTGTGGGGTTGACAGGTTTCTTTTATTGGTTCTGGGACTATCGATTGCCGTAAGGCTCCCTCTAGTGGTAAGTTAGGGACAAGCCGCCTAGATTTGTCTGAAGAAACAGTACAAGGGCAGGTTACAAAGAGTGAAACAATTTTTTCATTGAATTGGAGCTGAGAAAGACCTTTCAGGATTATTACTGGAGACATTTGGAGTACTGCATGGCATCAAGTTTCAAAGAGTCAGTCTGATTGATTGATGATAAAATACCACCTCTAAATAAATGACTTTTGCTGTTAAAATAGTATGATTTTAAAAGACTTTGGGGAAAAATAAGTTAACATTAGTGTTATTTTTTACTACTGTTGATTTTAAGTGACGCTGTCTTGCTTGCTTATAAGACCCCTGTGTGTAGAAATAGAGACTGCGTAAGATTTTAAAATGTATTTTAATTGTCCGTATAGCTCCACCAAGTATGTTGGTGAAAGACGAGTACGTTCATGACTTTGAGGGACAGCCATCCCTGTCCTCCGAAGGACATTCGATTCAGACCATCCAGCATCCACCAAGTAACCGGGCGTCCTCGGAGACGTACAGCACCCCGGCTCTGCTAGCCCCGGCTGAGCCCAACGCAACCAGCACCACCAACTTCCCCAACATCCCCGTGGCTTCCACAAGTGAGTTGTAGACGCAGCAAGTTAAGCCTTACCCACTGTTCCATCTCTGTATCTAGCTGTGTGCCGTGAAACTCCAAATGGACTTAAAGAAAAGAAAGTGCTCTGGTATCTTTTATAAGTGAACAAGGATGAAATAGGGTTTGGGCTTAGTCTGCGGAAAAGGGGGTATGTGTAATTGATTTAATGGCTCTTGTATTGACTTTCAATTATTTGGAATTTAAGGGTTGGCATCTATATAGCACTCATTTAAATTCTTTATTGTGTAGTGCCCTGTAAGGTCCTGCGTCTTGAGCTTTCAGATAGATTTTCAAGAAATATTTAGCAAAGATTCTTAAAAAGTAGCTAACAAAAGTAATATTGAGCAAAGATGTTTATAAAGTTCTATATTAACGGCATTTCAAACTTGCCTGTGATTCAGTGTTTTTTTTTTTACTTTGTCTCAGAGGATGTTCCTTTATAATAATTGTCTCCATTTTCTATTGTGTGCACTTAGAACCAAAGACTGTGACAAACTTGTTTCAGTGCGTGTCCCTTCAGGTAGACTCTCAGTTCCTTAGTCTATTTGGATATAAAGCTAAGTTCTTCACATCTTCATGCTTTGGATGAGAAGTCATTGTCAAAAGGCTTCTTCCAGGAAGGCAGTGAACTGTGAGGTTCCACATTTCTTGGGGCCTAACCAAGGCAGTAACAACCTGGTTCTGTTAGTTTTCACAGTCACCAAAGGTGGGACTAGTCACTAGCAGTGTTCTGCTTGGAGAGGCGATCAGAGAACAGGTATGGCAGCTATGTGGGGTTCTCTGTACCTGGTTGCTAAGAGAATTGTGTCCAAGCCTGCATCTGATGATATATTTGGATCAACACTTTGCTAGCTGCTACCTCACGAAGCATTCTTACTCCCTTTACTTGACAATCAGATCACATCGAACCTCTGACTTTGCTCTGTGGAATAAACGGGACTCGCTTCTACACTGAGTCTTCAAGTGAAATATTCCAAATGTGCGTGTCCCCCCCTCCCCCACCCCAAACACTTAATTCATTTCTCCACTTCAGAGTGCACATTGAGATAAGCATTTCACCAAAGAGAACATACTCTAAGTGGATGACAGTCTTGGTATTTTGGGGGGGTTGTTTTCACAGTTGGATGGTAAACACTGTAGGCAAAATGCTCTCTTAGATCTTGGCCAGTGTGTTGGCCCCAGTAGAAGAGCTGGCAGACTGCTGTACCCGCCCACTGGGAACAGTGTGCTAGCAGCCCCTGCAGGGCTCTCCCGGGCTCGCACTGATGGTCCATGCACCTTTGGCCTCTGCAGATCCTCAGGGGTTCTTTCTAAATAGCAGGGGGACTTCAAAAAGTTGTGGACATTTGGAAGTTAAAAAAAAGGAGGAGCAAAAAAAAAAAGGAGGAGGATTTTCCCATGAACTTTTTCAGGCACCTTCTACCTGTAAGTTAAATTCATTTAGTTTTTTTCTCTGTAGTGACAGTTTCTATAAATTGGCTAATAGTATGTAGCATGTAAATGATTAAAAGCAAAAGCATTAACCTGTAAGGATAATTAACAAATTGTGGGGGAAGGGGGTGAGCAAGAAGGGAGATTGCTTAAAACATTAACAATGAGTAATTTGGGTGTATTGAAATCTCATAAGCCTTTGATTTTGTGATACTAGCTTTAGGGAACTGTGATTTGTAGAGACAAGAAAAATGGTTTCAATTCCTTGATATTTTGCACAATGAGGTCATTTACTGTTCCATCTGCTTAGATTCCCATCTAGATGAGAAACGAATACGGTTATGACAATGGCATACCAGTGACTACATTTCCATGCTTTCCAAATGAGAACTTGATTAAGCATTGTCTTAAGTGGACTTAATTAATGCTTATTTTAAGAAATCAGGTTTTTCTCTTTTAATAGAAAAGTCTTAAAAATGTCAGTTAGTAACCAATGACATAAAATCATTTTGAACGCACTTAAAAAAGCCAGAGAAAGGTTCAACCAAAAACCTGCCTCCTGGAGTTGATTTCAACTCATAGTGACCCTAAAGGGCAGAGTAGACCAGCTCCTTTGGGTTTCCAAGATGTCGTCATTACTAGAGCCTACAGGCCCATCATTCTCCTGGGGAGCTTGAACCACTTACCTTGTGGTCAGCAGCCCAACACTGTTCCCCTAGGGCACCTAGAGAAGGCTGATCCTGGTACAGTATAGGGAGAGAGGGGAACTAAACTTGTCCTTACCTTTTTTTAGTCCGGGAGTGTGCTGATACTGTTGAAAAGAAATTATTTTTAATATTTTAAAATAGACAAAAACACTCAAAAGGCTTTACTGAGATTTGTGGGTTTTTTAGTAGCAGATGCTACATTGATAATACAATGGAGGTATATCTTTTTAATTCTCTTACCTTTCACATCTCATCTAATTTAAAATAGTTACCGCTCAATTGTAATCTTCCTAAGTCCTAGCATCGTGCGATCACCAGTACAGGCACTGATAATTATTAACTTTCCAGTTTTCAACTTTTCTTGGGCCTGGGCTTTGGGGAGACTGACCAGAAAGCTCTGGAGAGAGGTGAATTGGATGACTCGGGGTGAATGAATGTGCGTCTGAAAAAGTGATTATGCTAGGCAGACATAATAGGAGAATTTTACTGGCCTTTGCAGAATATTTGTGAAGAAATGGACCTCTAACGTCAGATGGATATACTACTTTAAGAATTTCTTCAAGTTAAGGTTTGCCCATAAGGAACTTTGGATTTGTTTTGTTCGATGGGCTGTGATTGAGTTTCTGGTCTTGCCCCCTGTCACAGCTGTGGGCGTCACAGGCCCTTCTTTTGCATTCAGTGAGCCTGCCTCCCGTAGTAAGGCCTTCTTGTCCCCGCAGGTCAGCCGGCCGGTCTCCTGGCGGCCAGCCATAGCGAAGGCCTCTTGCAGATCGCCTCGGGCCCCCAGCCGGGACAGCAACAGAATGGATTCACCGGGCAGCCAGCGACTTACCACCATAGTACGTACACGCTTTTTACAGTCTTTCGAATCGTTGCGAAAAACAGGCAGCCTTTGTAAAAGCAAATTAATCCATGTGGGCCTTAATTTTTAGACAGCACTACCACCTGGACGGGAAGTAGAACTGCACCATACACACCTAATTTGCCTCACCACCAAAACGGCCATCTTCAGCACCACCCGCCTATGCCGCCCCATCCCGGACATTACTGTAAGCTCTTGTTTTTGTTGTAAGGGCTTTTTCTTTTTGAGGACTTTTTTTCTATTTTTTTTTAAACAAATGGTTTTACATCCTTTATTCATCCTACGATTTAGTTCCACTGCGGTTAGTGCTTTTTTGTATTTTTTATAGACGGTATTTTTCATAGTTGTGGTTTTCATTTCTTTGTTTCTGAGGAGTGCTGTTTCTTAAATACATTTACCTTTCCTTTGCTAATGTTTCATTAACACTACATTAATTTCCATTCATTTGTTTGTGTGCTTTGTATATGTTCTTCGATCCCATATGTATCTTCTATCTCCACCCTTAGGGGATGGGAACCCCTGTGGTGCCGAGATCTCAGGGTCCTCACCTCAGGATTTAGCAGACAGGAGACACAGATGTTGAATTTGTTGTTCACCTACGCAAGCGTGGTTGGGAACCGATAACCAGGGCCTGCACTTTCAGGGAAAGTAGGAATATCGGTCATTTGGTCTTAATAAAATCAAGAGGGGAATGCTTTCATATAAATTAAGTCCCTTTCCTTCTCACTATAAGACTGATATCACTGAAGATAAGGTATCAAACACAGAAAAGTGAACAGAAAATAAATAATACCTAGAATCCTACTACCCTGAGATTGCCACTCTTAGGATTTTGGCATGTTTTTCCTTCCAGTTATATAATGGGTATCGGTGAGTTGGGTCCTGGGGAAGGGCGGGAATTGTAATAGATTGTGTGTGTGTAGCTATAGATATTAGTGCATCCTCTTCTTTTTCAGTTAGGCTATTATTTTTCTATGTCATAAGAGACTAAGAGGAGGTTTGAAAAGTTTGTGGAAAAAATGAAATAAAAATATTATGGAAATGTCTGCAAGCCTTCTGCAAGCCTCTTTTATAGTTAGTTATCCCTGGCTGCGGGGAGAGTGTAGTTGTTAAGGAAAGACGGGAGATCTGTGCCCTTGGCTAGCTTTGTGAACCCTGAGGACTCACTTCGACTCCTGAAGCCTCAGGAGCGGTGGGTGGAATACCCGTGTCAAGGTGCTGTGCGGAGTAAATGTCGCAGTGTAATTCACAGGAGAGGCTTCGCACTGGGGCTTACACATAAAGTGCTCTTCACTGTAACAGCGACTTTTCTACTCTGTCGATGTCCTTAATTAATAGACCACACACACTTGTTTTTAGAATGGAACCAACAGTTTGAATTATTTATTATACATTGTATACTAAAGTGTGTAGTACATATTATGTGAATAATTCCTTTATAGTCTACATTTGATAGTGCATGTAAAACAATTTGTAAATTGCTTAATCGTACCTTACATAACCTTCAACTATTAACTACTTTTTATTAAATAACTCAAAAAGTAACATATATGTCTATTTGTGTATTGTAATCATTAAGTAATTTCGATTAAACGGTTAAGTCCTTAGACAAACTCCTAAGTATGATAATTGTATTTAAGTAAGGTTTATTAAAAGTTTTAGCAGTGAAAAACTTTTAATAAATAAAAATGGTTTTTTTTTTGTCTTTTCTTCAGGGCCAGTTCACAATGAGCTTGCGTTCCAGCCTCCCATTTCCAACCATCCAGGTAAGTGCAAAATCCTAGTGAAGAATGGGTTCTTCCTGTGTTTAGATTTTCTCTCTGGTAATTGAAGCAGGCATACATCATACGGCTCTTAATATAATTACAGGCTACTTGACCTTTTCAGAGAAATAAACTCCCTGTGGCATCACTTCATACCTAGTTTAAGAGCAGCTCACACTGAGCAGACACACTGTCAATATTTGATTCATTTTAACTGTCTCCAAAAGAAGAGAGTATTTTCAGGGAAAATACCAAGTACTGACATTTGTGTTTCAGCCTTGAGTACATATCCAGAAGAAAACGGATTTTTAAAATAGAACAGTTATAAAAGTGTAGCTAAAAAGCAAAAGAAGAAATTTGAGTGGATATTGAAAGAAAAGTACTGTATATACTCATGTATAAGCCGAGTTTTCCAGCACATTTGGGGGTTGGGGGGAAGTTCCGGGCGGGGAAAAAAACCCCCAGAAAACCTGCTAGACAAATTCTAAAAGAGCTGTAACACTTCCAGCACATTTTTATGCGGTTTTTGTGGTAAAATTAGGTGCCTCGGCTGATATTCGTGTCGGCTTATACTCGAGTATATACGGTAATTCTCTGCACCTAGCTAAAAGTTTCAGGAATCCCTGGTGAAATGGGACTGAACCAGTTTTGTGGGTTATATTATACTAGCACAAATAAACGACTAATGGTTTTCCCCAATTTACAGTTTGTAACTACTTTTCAAATTGTAAAACTAAACCCACTCCCATCCAGTTGATAAAGACGAGGCAAAGTATCAGAAAAACCAAACCAAACTCACTGCCATCGCATGGGTGCCGACTCATAGGGACCCTGTGGAGCACTGCCCCTGTGAGTTTCTGAGGCCGAGAGTCTTTTTGAAATTATTTTTCAAATGAAATTGGCACATAATCCACCTGTCATGTAATTCTCTAGTTCAATCATATCAAGATGGAAACCTTTATGGGAGTAGAAAGCCCCATCATTCTCTCAAGGGGTAGCCAGTGGTTTCAAACTGCTGACCTTGCAGTTAACAGCCCAACATATAAATCACGCCACCAAAGTGTAGAACTAGAAGAGAAAATGGCCACGATTTTAATTTATGGCTCCCCTCCACTTGCTTCACAGCCAGCCTTCTTAACTTAAAATAAAACATATAAATATGTTATTTCAACTAATTGCCCAGCTTTTTTTCCCCTTGAATGGTAAACTCAATTTTCCTAATTAGAAAAAACCCAAAACCCTCTTGGTTAGATAGAATTTCAAGCATATACCAAATAGGCTAGAGGAGGGAATGCCCAGATTTTGGCTGTTATTAACAGCCAGTCATATTTTGTTCCTAAGTGGCCTGCTTTCCCACTTCTGCCTGATTTGCAAGCACAAATATAAGTATTTCAGTATACGTTTTTAAAACATAGGCATAGTACTCAGAATGATCGATTTTTAAGGATAAGCTTATAGCTCCCCAAACAGACCTGCACAATTTTCCTGACCAGTGTTTTGTTGTTGATTATTTTGGTCGACAGATTGACTACAATTTTCCTTCTTTTTTTTTTTTAATGCAGGAAGATCTTTGTGCTTACATTTTTTTCCTGCTGATTTAGGAGACAAAATGGAATTTGGGTGAGGAGAAAAAGATGAAATAGGGACATCTACCTGTTTGTTATATTTGCTTCAACCCCCCCCCCCCCAAAAGCCCCATTGGCCACCAAGCCAATTCTACCTCTTAGTGACCCCTGTGGTGTTTTAAAGACTTGAATTCCTCATAGAGGCAAACCGCCTTATCTTTGTCCCCAGGAACGGCTGGTGGGTTGGAACTGCTAACCGTTTGGTTAGTAGCCTAACCTGCAATACTACCTTATCTAGTGGGTTGGTGTTTAATATGCAGTATTTGAGTATTGATGATTCAAAACTTTGTGATTATTGCCTTTTTAATAAGCATCTTTATTGAGAAATGTAACACATAGAAAAGTATATAAAGCATTCAGTGGAATGCATTACATTAGAACCTACCCCTATGTACCACCCAGACTGAGAATCAGAAGAGCCTCTGGTAGCACCCTAGAAACCTCCCACCCACGCTTTGAATGGGTGTTGTTTGTTATCTTAGTGTTTTGTATTTTTAAAGTGATGAATACATCCCTAAGTTATGTAGTGTAGTCATTCTAACTAAACTTTTGCTTGCTTTTGAAATTATATAAATGGAATCCCTGTATCAGGATCTTAATTGTGTCTACACATGAATAAATTTTGATGAGAAGAGAAATCTAGAGACAAAGAACTTTTTAACTGGCACTGAGATGGTTTCATTGAAAGTCAGTTGTGGCCCCTAGCAACTGGGGTGTGGGATCTCTCCTCTTAGAGCTTAGTGGGCACTAGTCTGGGGGAATAAAGCTAATCAACCTGCCCTGGTTGGGGTGGTGAGGGGTGGGAAGGGGTAGTGGGCCTGAGCCAGATCCTTGGACTCAGCTGTGGGGCCCTCAGTTGTCTTTGGCCGCGGGATAGCTTTGTGTTGTCCTTCCTACTGTGGAACTGAGACCTCACTGAGACCTACTGGCTCAGGTGAGTAGGAATCAGTCACATTAATGAGCATGGAGCAGGTGTGCGGCTGGGGCAGCCTGCATGGATGGAAGCAGGAGAAAAGGAGTGGGGTTTCGTAGTGGGGCTGATCCTGAAAGGGCCTCTGAGTGGTTGTGGGAGGGCATGGGAGAGAGACACGTTTAATGGGATCAGTCACTTAAACTGAAGTGGTTTTGACTGAGTATTAATGGACCTCAGTGGAGTTTTGCCACAAGACTCTTCTTCATTTATCTGTGTTGTGAACAAGACTCTTCTAACTCGTGTCTCTGCTAGGAGAGCTGTTTGCAATATCTCCCTCACCAATTTATCTCGACTGCAACTACTCAAAAGTCTTTCTTCTAAGTGTGACCTGGTGATTATGTTATTTCCCTGCTGAAGAGCTTGAAGCGCTGCTGCTCCCCTAGGCGGCTTGACCAGAGCTTGAAGTTCACACCCTTTCCTGAGCAGGGCAGTCTCTGTTCCTGGGCTCCGCCTGCTGCTCTCAGCACATTTCTCCCTGTGCCCTGAGAGCTGACTTGGTCACCACTCTCGGTTATTTGTGCACATGCTGCTCAGTGCACATAAATCTGCTATCATTACATTAGTTTTCCAAAGCTTTTAGGGAATTGCAATTATGTTTTTTAAAGTGGGGGGATACTACCCTCTTGGGGCACTGGAATGATCTATGGGGGCTGCAACAGAACTGGCTATACTTTATCCAGGACAATGGGCTATATATAATAAAACGGTTTTTAATTGCTCAGCAGTAATCTTTTTTCTCTGAAAAGGGGGCAATAGGCGACTTAAAATTAGGCACCTGTGAATTCCAGCCACAGTAGCTATTCGTTATCTCACCTGTCTACCCAGGAGTGGCAGTGGCTCAGGTCTCCTGAGGGGATGAGAGAGAAAGAGCACATTATCCCGTGAACCAGAAATGAAAGCCACATCTCTCTCACACACCCCTCGGGGCTCGCTTTCTCCCTTCTGCCTCCTTTAGCTCCTGAGTACTGGTGCTCCATTGCTTACTTTGAAATGGACGTTCAGGTGGGAGAGACGTTTAAGGTCCCTTCAAGCTGCCCGATTGTTACTGTGGATGGCTACGTGGACCCTTCAGGAGGAGACCGCTTTTGCCTGGGTCAGCTCTCTAATGTTCACAGGACAGAAGCCATTGAGAGAGCAAGGTATGGTGTGTTAGTCTGGGTGGACTAGAGAAACAACTTCATAGACACTCGTGTATAAGAAAGAACTTTATATGAAAGAGTAATTGTATGTTAAGAAATCATCCCAGCCCAGTCCAGTCAAGTCCAGAAGCCCGATATTAGCTCATCTGTCGGATTCCAGTCTGAAAGTTCCTCTTTAGCCTCTCAACACATGCAATGATGCTGAATGTGGGAAGATCACAGGCCAGTGGATGGAAAGTCTTATGGATCCAGTGGTATTAGAAACACCTCAATGCTGGCAGGGATCTCCGTGTGGCTCCCCCAGCTCCAGGACTCTAGCATAGCTCCAGGTGTCTTGTCAGCAGGAATGTCTCCCAGGGAGTGTGTGCCCCGCCTCCAGCAACCTATGTATCTCCTTAGTGCCTCTAAATGAGGTCATCAAGCTGCGACCTGATTGACCGCTAAGCCCCACCCTTTCACTTTTAATAGTCTCAAATTGACAGCAGATTATGTAACTACCACACACGGCTAGTTAGAAAATGAGCTCAGGACATTGTCTTGTATATACATTTATGCGTCTTGATAGAGATCTCAGAGTTCTTGAGTGGACAGGGTGGGGGCCGGGGGAGTTCTTGAATGGGCAGGGAGTGGGGAGAATATCTTGAAAATTCAAAATTTGTGAGCATTCCATTTTATTTGTAGATGTTTCTTATTGAAAACACAGTGATTAAAGGTAGCCTTTAAATAATACATTTTTTTAAGTTAGTAAAGTTTTGTGTTTCAGAAAAGTAACTAGATCTTTAGGAACCTAGTTTAGAAACTAATTTTTTCTGAATCTGTATGATCTCTACAGATCACTGTAAGGAATTGATTTTAAAATGAGGATACATGTCTACCCAAAGATGTCTCTTACAGTGTTATTTTTAACGTTGGCATTTGATTCCAAAAGGGGGTACCTAAACCAGTGGCCGTGGAACTGGCTCTGACTGGTGACAGAACCCCACTTGGGTAGGGTCAGGACTGAGTTCCTAAGCTCGTCCCTCCCGGCTGTGGCCTTTCTTCTGAGAGACCTCTGCCTGTGCGTGTTACCGACCCTTCCTTCAGCAACCTGGCTGTTGGAAGCCCAGACTGTCCGGTGCAGCTGGCTGCAATAAAACCCTCTCACTTTCAGGCTGACAACCTGCACAAACCAATGGAAGTGTGGACGTGCTGTAATTCTTAACTCTTGACCAGCCAGCAATCATGGGGCATAAAGACACAAGTCAGCAAAGGGTTAACACTTAAACAGCCCCCTCTTTTTTTAATAGTCATTATTTTGTATAGCCCAAAATGTCACTTAAAAGTTTGTGTACTTAAGTTTAGGGACTACATACCATTAACTCTTTAAGGATTGTGTGTATATAAAAACGGGTACTCTTACTGTCACTAACAGTGTGGCTTTGACTCGCTGCTTGGTCTCTATGTTAGTGCTGTCCTAATGGGACTTGCATTTCAGTAGTCCCTGTGGCTGTTAGATGTCAGCGTGGGCACTATAGCTACGAGCCATACTTTCCTGAGCTAGAGCCTGGACACAGCACCACAGAGCTCCTGCGTTGAGAAGGTGGGAGAGCGCATGTTAGAGGCTGCTGATACCCAGCAAGAGTGACACAGGACGGGACTTCTAAAAGTTGGTGGAGAAATGCAATTGGAACAGAATGGAGTTTTTCTGTGAACTTCTTGATGACTCCTCCTCATACACAGATAGAAAAAAAACAATAAATCAAAATCTTTATAAGGCATATCTTGTTTCTAGTGTTCTGCGATGTCCTTTCTAGTTTTTCAACATCGGCAAGTTGTATAACCTGAACTACAATTTATTTTTTATATTTAGCAATTGAAATGTATTATCTTCCATTTCCCCCCCCTAAGGTTGCACATTGGCAAAGGTGTGCAGCTGGAATGTAAAGGGGAAGGTGATGTTTGGGTCAGGTGCCTTAGCGACCATGCGGTCTTTGTACAGAGTTACTACTTAGACAGAGAAGCCGGACGTGCACCTGGAGATGCTGTGCACAAGATCTACCCAAGTGCATATATAAAGGTTAGTTGGACGTTTTCTTCAATATTGTAGACCTGGGAGGCTGTTTGCTGTGTAACAGACTTGACAGGAAGGTTGGAGGAATAGGCAAATGCTTCCTGTGTATTAGATGATCAGAAATTATGTTTGAGTATAAAACATGTTTTCTGGGCTTCACAGATGCGATCCATTATCTGGTTTTGTGAGTGCATTCATCCCTAGTGTTTTACTAAAACATTGTAGAATAATACAGAGGCTCTAAAAGAAAATGCCTATTTAATTCTAAAATTAATCCCTCCCCTTAAAACCCATCTCTTGTTTGGTTGAAAATTGAGCCACAGGGCCAGACTTGAAGATGGGACTCAGGACTGCAGTCTTGGGGCTTCCACTCGTCTCTGGTTACCAGTAACCCACATCTTTTTAACTTTGGGTTTTGTTCCACATTGTACTCCACTCTGTTCAGAACCTCCCCGTGTGATCCTCCTCAGAGCCGTGGGTAGTGGAAGCCAAGAACTGTCTTGTTCTTCTGGTCTCAAGCTTGTGGAGGCCAATGTTCTCATGGTCCCTTAGTCTACTGGACTCACTGTTTCCATGTGTCTTTGATTGGCTCCACTTCTCTTTCTTCTGGAGAGGGAGTTTATACCTTAGATGGCTGCCCACCAGCTCTGAAGAACCGAGTCACCACTCCCCAGAGTAGGATGGAGAACATTGTCTTTGTGAACTGGGTATGTCACCTGACTGTGGTGTCTTCCCAGGCTATGATCCTGAGCCCCCAGACTCCATAGCTTGTTCCCTGGAGGTGTTTGCTTATGTCTGGGAAGTTTTCATAACTTTGCCCCCTTATAGGCTCCACCATATTCACTGATATATTTACAGCATAAATAAGTACACATGTAGAAATAGCCTCTGTCAAACCTGTGGTCTATTCCTGGCATGTATTCTCGTCCATTCTCCTTCCCACGGCCATTCAGTTGGGTGAGACCTTCCCAGAGGTCCCAGGCCAGGGAGGAAGTTCTGACTCTGCAGGACTTTAGGGAAGCCCTCATGGGGGTTGTGATCCCAGCACCTGATACAGTCGTATGCTCTGGCCTCAATTCCCGAAGGACCGGGTGGTTTGGTCAGGGACTACATGTGTATCTATCTGACAAGCTCCTTCATCTTCAGAGATGGGGCCAGGTTAAGACCTCTCCTTCCCCCAGTGGTAATTAGGACCATCAGTGTGAGGCACTGGGCATCGGGTCGAGAAAGGAGTCAGCAGGAACATTCCTCTTGTTCTGGATCTTCTTTGTACAGGTCTTCGACTTGCGCCAGTGTCACCGTCAGATGCAGCAGCAGGCGGCCACTGCTCAGGCTGCAGCTGCCGCCCAGGCAGCCGCCGTGGCAGGAAACATCCCGGGCCCGGGATCCGTCGGTGGGATTGCCCCAGCTATCAGTAAGCATGCCTTGGAGTTTTTCGGTTTAAAGTGTGATAGTTGGTGTTTTATCTTGATGCACCCAGGCGGTTAGTTCCTCCAAGTACAAGAGAAAGGCACGTGCTTTATCTGGGATGACGGTCTTGAACACGTGGCACTTCTTCGGGAGCAGTTGCCCTTTGCCCAGGACCCAGCGTTCCTCCTGATTGTGTCGCGGAGGGCATGTGGGGTAAAGGAGAGGAGGGCTTCCTGCTAGATCCCTGTGGCCCGCTTGTTGACAGTTGTTGATTCCTGCCTAGGCAGCAAGGGTGGGCTGTTGCCACGGAGGTACTTGCCTTTTGTAAGGAAAGCTTATTCCACGTTGGAATTTTTTAAGTTTGCTAAGCATGGAGCAAAACTTCAAGTGAGGGTGGTATTTTGATAATATGTAGACTGTTAATCTTAGGTTAAGATTGAACTGTGTGCCAGGGTTCACACTGATGGGGCATTTTTCACTGCAGAGTTAAGCTCCTGACTATAGACTTTTATGATGGAAACACGTGGCACCATCTTCCACGTCTGAAGGCATAACTAGTGACTCATTCAACCCCTGTTCTTAACCTCTTCAGTGTGGTAAGCAGATCACACTGGCTGAGAAAACTGCAGTGGCCCTGCCGTTTCTCTTCAGTACATGCCAGCTCCTGTCCTAGTTCCACTGTGCTGTGGGTGAATGCAGCCTGGCTCTCTGTGACTGCATGTCCTGAGTGCACAGCTAGCTGCTAGCGTCGCCAGGGGGGTTCCGTTCAGGAGTTTACAGTCTAGAAGTAGATAACAACAGGCTCCCCTTGAGAGTTTGATCCTTTTAAAAATGTGGACATCTAAAACCAGGACTAGCGAGTTTTGATGTCACAAACACGCTTTTACGAAAGAGTCTGCACGGCTTACCGAGTTTCTCGATTTCAGCTGCTGCCCCTCTGAGTAGTGTGAGCGCTCTCATTCTCTCTGCTGCATGCAGCAGTGAGCAGCACCATGTGGGTCTCCCAGAAGGCCGAGGGGAACCAGGAGTAGTCACTGTCCCATCCCTCCTCATGTCTCACTCGGAGCGAGGCTGTGTAGACAGCTAGTCAGGCTCTTAGAATCAGCCTGTGGACACTGACTCCCCTGAAATATTGTTGTTTCTTGTCCCGTCACCTCCACTTCTACAGCAAAGCCCAGGTGGGGGTCTGGTGGAGTGTCATGGTTTACGTGGTACCTAAGGGACGCACATAGGACATAGGCTAAAGGTGTCTGTGCCTGTTGACAGTTTAGATCTGAAGTGAAGTGCTGAGGAGAAGGAAGTAAAGGGAGAAAGCGGGTCACTTGATTCACATAGGAACATAGGGAGGATGGAGACAGCCCAGCTGGGTGTCTGACGCCGCGTCTTGATCTTCCTCTTAGGTCTGTCTGCGGCTGCTGGCATCGGTGTGGATGACCTGCGCCGCCTGTGCATCCTCAGGATGAGTTTTGTGAAGGGCTGGGGACCTGATTATCCCAGGCAGAGCATCAAGGAGACCCCCTGCTGGATCGAGATCCACTTGCACCGGGCCCTGCAGCTACTGGATGAAGTCCTTCACACCATGCCCATTGCCGACCCCCAGCCGCTCGACTGAGGCCGAGTGTCTGTGAGGGCCACCCACCCACCCACCATTCGGGTCCCTGATGCTGCCAGGAGAGTGGACTCTGACGTATAATCCTGTTTATAATCTGAAGATCTGTTTCACTTTTGTTTGCTTTATCTTTTCATCAAAGGTTGAAAAATGGGTTTGCTGCCTTGCTCCTAGCAGACAGAAACTGGATTAAAACAAAAAACAATTCTTTTTTCCCCCCTCTCTATTTAGAACTTTTCAGGCATGGCTCAGAACTTGAAGATCATGAAAAACACATTCTTTACCAAATCTTCACCAGTTATGTATGAAGGAATCATTCCAGTGCTGGAAAATGTAGCCCTTTCAGATGTCTTAGAGCCTTTTATATGCAGAACATTAGTGTGTTGTTCTCCAGAATAAATTTCATATTGCTGATTTTAAAGGCAGAGAAGTTATCAGCGTTAACTCACCTATGCTAGTCTGTGTGCAAGCTGTTACTGTTGAACATAACTTTACTCCAAAATAGTGTGCCATGTGGGTGACTTAAGTTTCCCAAAAGCAACTTTACTCTGTTTTTAAAAAATATGACAGCAATGTATTATAACCTTTTCCCAAAAAACCCATATTTTTTGGCAAGTTAAACTAGAGAGGATGGTTTTGATTCAGGTTGTCTTGCAACTTCAGTTTTATTTTTGCCAAGACAAAAACACTAACCTTTGTGTCTATTGAGAATTCCTTGAAACAATTAGACCAAATACAAAGTGACATTTAAAGTGACACGTGGGGAAAAAAAAAGACACATGTTGGCCCCACCTGGTGCCTGGCGGCACATCGAGCAGGGCTGCTTCTACCCGGTGACACAGTCGGTCGTCCTCTGTGTCTGCGCTTGAGGAAGCATTTCTTCCCCTCATTGATTCACAAAGAAAGCTTTTTGTATTTTTAAAAGCAGTGCCAGTCCACTTTATGGCTCACTGTTCTGCAAAGGTGGCAGGTGGGCCAAGGAATCATGAAGTTTTGGGAAACTGCTAAATTCGATGTCAGATGTCATGCAGAACAGTGGAACATTGTGGTTCACAATAGGTAGTTTGGATATTTTTGTACTTGGTTTGATGTGATTTTTTTTCATATACTGTTTAAATCATGTATGTTATGACATTGTTTAAAATTCAGTTTTTGTATTTTGGGGCAAGACTGCAAACTTTTTATATACCTTTTGGTTAATCTAAGCTCATATCAATTGGCAGTGACTTTGTATGGAGAATCTCAGTAGACACCTTGCAGCTGTATTGACTGTACAAACGACACAATATGTATGCTTTTGACCTAGCTAGTAGCATAAATAAAACGGAATCTCAGCATACCAAGTGGAATTCTAGGCTTGGGTTTAAGTTGTTTTGTTTTCCCTTGCCCTCCGGAGTCCAGTCTCTGTGTGACAGGCAGCCTCACTCTCCCTCACCTCCCGCCAGGACTTCCCAGGGCCTCCCTCGGCCATTGTCTGACAGACAGATGGATTGCTTACCAGAAGAAGAGTGTGAAGTACGACCCAGGAGTATCTTTCCGATGCTTTTGCTTTGGACGTGGAGGACCTTTATGAAAGGAGGGTTTTTAAGGTGTGTGAGAAGTTCGAGCCAGAAGCACTTGGCACCTGGTAGCCATCACGTTCTACTTTACTCAGCAAGTGTTCTCCTTCCTTGCCGTGCAGCGTTTGTTCCCCAGTTCAAAAGCCCTTCTCGGTACTCTCCCAGTACCCCAGGCTTGCCGATGGCTACAGCTGAAGTATCCAGCTTGCTTCCGGTTTCCTTCCGTGTCTTCCGCTTTTACAAGGACTTTTCTACCAACTCATTTGTACTCTGAAGTGTACTTACATATACATTGGCTTGAAAGAACTACTTTTAACTGCTCACATTTGGGTGTGGGTTTTATTGGCAGGTTTAAAAGCTAAAGAGCGTTCTTTTTCAGAAGTGACTCTGAAGACGAGGAGTGACGGGGAAGCGTTTTGGAATAGGCGGCGTTTCGCCTGCCTCTGTGCTGTGCGCGTGAGTCATGCAGTCGTGGAGTCCGCTGGCCCTTTTCTGCTCTAAGGGAGGTTCTCCGGTTTAGTCACCCGGGGAGGTGTGGCAAATCTTTACTAAAAACCTCTCTGTGGTCAAGCCATCTGCATGGATGGATTTCTGCCTCTCACAAACCATGCTGACTGCTTGCTTTGTATTGCTACCTAGATTCTGTACATGCTTTTGAACAACACATGCGACGATCAGTGCTTCTTGAGAGCTTAGCTGCGACAACCGAGTCTGCCTTTAACAAATGAGACTGGGGCCCACTGGGTTTGACGTCGCGTGTCTGTTTATAGGGTACAGTTGCTTCTGTAGTTCTTGGAGTCTGATGAGTTTGAGGACGGGGCTACAGATGGGTTTTCTCTACCTAACTCCTACCGCCAAGGCTTCCAGAGCGGTGGTGGATTTTGGTGAGAGCGGACTGCGATGAGGCACTTGGAGGCCCATTGCACTTCCGGTCAGTGCCTCCAGTGCCTCATCACGCGGGCCCTTCTTGGGGTGGCCACCACAGAAAGGTGTCGACTCTTCCTTCTCCTATACTGGACTGCACTTAACTCACTGCCACCCAGTCAGTTAGGACTCATAGCGACCCCATAGGACAGGGAGCACTGCCCTGGGAGTTTCTGAGACGGCGACTCTTCATGGGGGGAGAAAGCCTCTTTCTCCCGGGATTGGTCTGGTACTCTGATGATACTAGACCACTGCCAGATAAAGACATGGCTCCTTTGTAGTGCCCGAAGCCCCAAATACCCCGTCGGAGGCTCCCATTCCTCCTGTAAGTGCCACAGGCTTCCCAGTCATCCGGGCAAACCAGACACACACAAGCTGTGTGCATTTCAAAATTTAAAAACCGCTTAGTTTTTTTTGGGGGGGAGGGGTGTGGTTTTAAGGGGGCATTTGCCATAAAAAACTGGAGGGCAATGTAAACATGTATTTATCATCTCTCTTCCCGATGTGACTGTTAATATTCTAGAAGCTTATTCTAGTTGTGGAAGGCGAGCTGTAGCTCTGTTATCAGCCGTGCCCCGTGTGGGGGCAGGAGAGCTTTACATCCCCACAGTGCTCCCTAGGTCTCCCTAGGCTGGAGACTGGCACTGCCGTTCCCGGGTTGGCGGAACTCACCGAGTCAGTAGTTCCTCCGAGGGTATTTCATGTGAAGTGACTTTGTTGAGAGCCCTTTGGAAGCAGGATGTAAACAATCATGTCTATAGTGTTCGCCCTTCCTCATTCATTAGGTCATTTTACTGGCATTGTAGTTAATGGTAGCAGATTGGCAAAGTGGAGCATTTAGGTGATTGAGGCAGATGATTCCGTGAGAGTCACTCCTGTGGGATCGTCAGTCAGCAGCTCTTGTGGGTGGAGGAGACATTAGCAGGGACCAGTCAGCCTGAAGAAGTCCCTTTTTTGCCGGGGTGGGGGAAATGGCAGGAGAGGTCTTGTTTTGGCGCTAAAGACAGATAACTTGTCAGTGGTCTCCTTACTTAGTCTACCTTGGCAAGATTGAATCTTTTATGTAGACTTCCCATTTTTCCTGACAATGAAGACACTTTTCTTTTCTCTTGTAAGACGAGGAAGGAGGTAAGAAGTTAGAGACCAGCCTCGTAGCAGGGGGTCCTCCGTCTCACCCCTTACGCCCCTACCTCCCACTTGTCCCAGCCCTGCTGGGGTGTCATCTGGGGCCTCCAGGATCAGTATGGGATGAAATGTCCCATGTAACCCACATTTGCCTTATTTAAGCACTAAAACTCCCTTCATTGTAGCCCTTTTGGATGGCGTTATTTAATATGTCAGAGAATATTGTGCGTGTGACCTTGGTGTGAGACAGAGGGGTGGGTGGGCAGGGGGTGGGCGTTAGCTGTCTTTGTTGACCTCGGGTCGCTAAGACAAGCAGGACCCTGGCCTTTCCTAAAGGCTCCTGGACTCTGGGTTTGAGTGCATTTTTTAGCATCTTCCGACCCTCCTCTGCGACAATGTCCACTTCGTGTGTGGTGGTTACAGTGCCTCCCTAAATGTCTTCCTCTCCCTCTGCTGATGTCACTATTTCTATTGGCTTCCGCGGCAACCAGGTATCCAAACTCAAAGACTGTTTGTCAAAAATGCAAATGCAACCTTTGGGGCAGGATCCAAGAAACTGGGCTGTCAAGTGTTGGAAAGGGCCTGTACACTGTGGCAGTTGGCATTCACAGTGCCCGCTTAGAGGGCTTTCTTGTTGCAGAGAGCAGTGAGTGAGCATCAAGTGCCGCCTGCCTTGTGGGAGGTGCTGCCAAGTCAGGTCAGCTCATGACGACCCAAAGTCCAGCAGAGGGAAACGCTGCCCCACGCCGAGCCCTCATCACCAAGTGGGAGCACCACGTGGAGGCCCTCGCTGCAGCTGCCGCGAGAAGCCATCCTGGGGATGGTCTTCCTCTTTGGCTCAGGCCCCGCTTTGCCAAGCACGTGCCCCTCCGGACGGCGTGGCCAAGACGGGAGGCAGTTTCCCCATCCTCACTTCCGAGGCGCGGTCTCACTTCTGCTGGCATTTCCTCACCAGCACTGTTCCAGGGCCGCTGATCTCCTTCGCGCTTCCTCCTCCACCCTCCAGTGTGAGGCGGCGATCAAAAACCCCGTGGCTTGGGCCAGGTGCACCTTCATACTCAAGATGAACCTTTGCTTTTCAGTGCTCCCCAGAGGCCTTTGGACATAGAGTTGCCTGGCGCAGTAGCGGTTTGACGGCTGCCCTGCGGCTCCTCACATACAAACGGGGCTTGTCAGGGTGATCAGAGTCAGCACAGGAGCCCGAGGAGGCAGGGCCGTTGCCCACAGGACACCAGCCACAAGCAAGCAACAAACGCTCCCGGTGTGGAGGGCGAGAGGGTAGCTTTGGGTCTTGCTTGGCTGCCTCTGACTTCTGGCCTGCCCCTGCTCCGCAGAGACGATTGACCTCTAGGTGCCTTTTTTGTGATTTTGGGGGGTCTGATTGATCGCCCTCCCCTTCCAAGGAGCAGCTTCAGGAACTGCTGATGTTTCTGGGGGTGAGGGGGTGGGTTTACCATCAGACTTGAACGAAAGAGGGCTTTCTGCCCGTCTTTGTCAAAATCCTGGAAGGACTGTGGCGGACAACTGGTGAAGACAATCATTTCTCTGGGGTGGGGGTGTTTCCTTTCATTTTAGGCCTGCTTCTCACCAGGTCTCAGAGCTAGTGTTGGTGTCCAGCCTGAAACTAAGGGTTGGAGCTAGGGCCAAAAGTGGTAGTCTAGTCTGAGCTCCACTTCTCATTTGCTGTGATTGCTGAGCACACTCGTTTACTTGGCTCACCTGTAAAGCAAGGGAGGTAGCGCCGACGAGTTCTCGCTGCTCTGCAGCTCTAAGTGGCCTTGCCCTCCGTGCAGCCATTTCTGGATTCTTCCCTACCTTGGCTCTGCTGTTCAAGGGCTATCTTGTTATTTCCACGTTGTGCAAAGGAAACTAGGCGCGACATTTTATTACTGTTCTCCTGCGGACAAGAAGTTACATAATTCGACCTTTAGCCTTCATTTTAACCAAAGGCCTAACACCACCTTGGGGGCTACAAGAAATATTTTTAAAAATAAGGGTGGGGGTGGGGAACCGTCAGTAAGTTTGGCAGCATCTCTGTTGAAAGTATCTTCAGGCCTTTTTTAAACCATGCGTGCTGTCCAGCTCTGCCGGCTGTGTGTGACTGAGGGCCTTGTGCAGGAATTTTTCTTTTTTTCCAAGTAAAATGGGTCGAAACCCTCTTGTCCAGGCCTAGTGATGTTAGAGGCCCTTCCTTTGGCTCTTTGGTTTCTTACCCATCTCTGCCCGGCTCCAGACAGCGTGGGTTAATGGTTTTGTGTGACTCCAGAAATCTCCCTGCGTGGATGACTCTACCCTTTCCCATGGGTACTTTTTAGGTCTGTGTTGGCGAGAAGGCTTCGGGCTGGCATTTACCTTTCAAGAGTTCTCTTCCAGCATACCTTGGTCTGGCCATGCGTCGTGAGAGCTAGGCTCCCACGGGGGCTCTGGGAAGTCTGAGCTGGAGAAGGGCTGCCACCAGCCGCCGTGGCCAAGGCTGCTGGTCATGGCAAGAAGGACTCACGGGCTTGGATCGGTCAAAGGCTATAAACAGTTGGCAAACTTCCTCCAAGAGTTGGGTTCTGGCCGGCGCCTTGGACATGTGATTTAAGGAACGAGCACAAAGGCTTGTGGGTGATGCAAACCTGGTGGGTGAGGAGTCGAGGTTGGAAGAGGGGGCTGGACTGATTGGGTGCCATGCCTGGGCCCCCGAGGAGAAGCTGCCTTTGGTTCCTGGTCACCAGAGGCTCTGGTAGCCCCTCTGGCATTC